AACAACTTCGAGTATCTGGGGCGGGGCCGACACAACCAGGCTTCGAGGAGAAATTCCCATCCCTCGGCATGCCGAAGTCGAAATTCCCCGGCCAGCGGGGGGATTTGATTGTGAAAGTCCAAGTTAAGTTCCCGACGACGTTGACGGCAGCGCAGAAGTCGAAGTTGAAGGAGATTCTATAACTTGCTTCCGCGTCCCCCACTGTATCCCCCCCTGGCTTTTCTCGGCCTTGGGGTGTACGGAGGGGCCTTATGATTTTTTATTTTTTATTTTTATTTTTATTTTTTCCTTTTGGAAGCAATGAGGCATTGGTGGAAGCATTTGGCGTTCTTTGTTTTTCCTTTTAAAAGGGATTTCTTTTCCCTGTTAATATTTGACTGAGTGTTTCTTTTTTGACTGAGTGTTTCTTTTTCACCTTACTCTGGCTGCGGTTATTTTCGTGCTCGGCTAGCCCTTTCTTATGATTTTCCCTTCTAAGCCTTCCCCCCATTCTTCTCTCAATTATTATCCCTTACATATTACTTTTTTTTTTGGTGGGAAAAATTATCACAGATTTCTGCTTTGATGCATTGTAAATCTCACCTTTGTTTATTTTTAGTTCCCTCCCTATTCTGTTATGTTTGCCTGAACAACTGTGAAAATAAACAAGCATTTCTTGTAACCAAATCATAGCCAAAAAATACAAAGATTTTCCAATTCATATTTAATATTTATTAACACCATTTCTGCATTTAGTGATTGTTGTGTCGGACCTTGCGATGATGTAACTACATCAGAGCTCCAGATGATGCGCCATTCCCAATTAGGACAAGCAACCACCATAACCTCCAAGCTCAAGCAACGTCACAGCCAACAGCCAACTACAACTAAACAAACAACTGTGTGCTAGCCAGACATCAAACCCCAGCCAAATCCATCCCTCGACGATGAAAAAATGAAAAAGAGAATTACCTTCGTTCATGCAGCTGACGGGGAATTCAATCCGGAGCAGATCACTGTGAAGGATGACTCTCTCTCTGTCCAATCCCTAGACGCAGCGCGCCAGGAACGAGTTACATTTGCCGTTGACGAGCTTCCCCAGGAGGTAAGCTTTGAAAAATGAACCTCCCTCCTGTATAACTGAGATTGCTGTAAACGCGAGAATCGCTTTGTTTGCCAATTTTAAGTAAAAGAAACGAAAATGGTCCTTTCATAATTTGCTCACCTGTTCTTCCACTCCTATAGGTCTGGCAAGTCCTGAAGCAATGTCATGAACTACATATCCGCTGGTCGTCGCAATATGTTTACGATGCCGTCCCACCGTTCGCGAGCAGAGTATCGCCAGGCTTGCATGTTTTCTACACGCCGGTTGACCAGGACCGTCCTGCGTACGTGTTACCATTTTTGATCGTGAAAGTGATTGTGACCGTGGCATACATGCTTATTTATTATATACGGAATTGAAACCCCAACAGCACACGCCTATGCCCTCTCCTACTCAAGGTGTTCGATGATAAGTTGAAATGCTATCTTCCAGAGGTAAATGCACTTGCAATTTGCCCGAACCATGGAAAGACTTGTTTCTGATCAAATCGTGATAATACCAGACATCGTTTATATCGCCGCCAATACTATCTAGAACATTTATCTCGAATCCCCCTCTCCAATTCCACCAGCTACTTCCCTCCCTTGACGAGTTCGTCAAGTACATTCAGCACAAAATCTGCCCACGGCTTGGGGATGAACAGAAAATCACCTGCAAATCGGATGTAGCCTCGCTTCTTTCTGCGGATTCGGTGGATATCGACTATGACAGCGTTTCGCACACTCTTACGACGGCGGGCTACTGGTCCAAACCTCCACAGAGAGATGGATGGACAGAAACAATACGCAAACGCAAGAAGAGCACAGATAAAGTAGAGGTGGGGATATTGGCAATGGAGCGGGCAAGACTACCCGAAGAACTCTCCATGGGCGGTTTCCTAGCCGTCGTAGGAGAGGATAAGAAATTAAGTACGTGCATATATATCCCACCCAACGTCCTCCTCCCGCTCTAACTAACTTATTTTTGACCAGAGCCAACACTCTTCTCCTTCCCATCCCGTCATCACCCCCTCCCCAATTCCTCAAAATACACCACCACCTTCCGCCACCCGACAGGCCTTCACCCAACCCTCCAGCTCTCAATCACACGCTCAGCCCTCACAGCCACACCCCCACGAGCACCCCCAGACTCCAAATGCGGCTTACACACCTACCTTACCCTCCCCTCCTCCGTCTTCGCCGATAAATACCAGCTATCCACCACTGACCCGCTCTTCCTCCAATCACACAACCTCGTCTCTCTCCGCGCCATCGCAGGCGAAACGGACCTCGAAGCCCCAGACTGGGTAACTGAGCGCTGGGGGTCAAGTTTACTTCTCGAGCTCGCCACACCACCATCTTCAAATACCCATAAATCTACACACGGAAACAGAAACGATGACAACGACAACGACTGGCAGGTCACCATCCCCTTACACCTCCGCTACCTCCACCCTTCCCCCAGCGGCTACAGGAACATCAGCGTCCCATGGCCCGTCATCTTCTGGGCGTGCACGCCTGAAGATGAAGAACGGGAGGAGTCAGCGGCGGATGGAAGGGGGAAGATGATGGCGATTAACCCGTTTGACAGGGTAAGGCTGGGCTGGGATGGGTTGTTTGCGCCCGGGACGCTGTTTTACCAGCTGCATCCTGACACAGCTGCTTCGACAGATGGGGATGCGCATGTGCATCTGGGTGCGGAAAGGGGTATGATGGTTGAGAAGATCCAGGTGCCGGTTTTGAGAATTGATGATGGTAATGATGGTGGTCTGTTGGATAATGTGCGCAGTATTGAGATGGTGACGTTGGTTGTTGTTGTTTTTGGGTTTTTGTGGGTGTTACGGAGCTTGGGGCGGGTGGTGAAGGAGGGCGGGCTTGGGAGTGGGGGTGGGAGACGAGATTTACGGGCCAGGGAGAAGAGGGAGTGAAGTGAGTCCTGTGTTAGGTGAGCAGAGTAGATCATGACTAACATGAAGATTGCGGAGAATGGAACCTGAATCTACGAACAAGGAGAACAGATGATATAAACTGCTTTTCACTGTTTTTACCCCTATCTTGTGAGATAATGATTAACCGTGCCAAACGCGACTCACTACCATTAGTGAGGAGTGAGTGCGCTTGGCACGGTTACAGCATATGTATGTAATATAGCATAGGCTCTCATTGTAAAATTAAAGAATTCAATTGAATAAAAAACTGAAAAATAGACATTATATCATTTATACACATACATACGTATGTACATCTCATATCCATTCAACTCAAACTGAGGTGGACTGATAGTATCCATACTCTGAGCAGGTAAATTAACAGCCATGGCATACAGCACCAACACAGATAACAGGCAGAAAAAAAGCTCCCAAACCAGCTCAGATCAGAACAAAACAGAGCACAAAACACCCTCATCAACGTCATGATTGAACTCCATTTAAGGACCCATGCATCCATTGCCATTTACAACCAACAGAGAGGCCTGAAACAAAGTCAACGCACAAAAATGAAATACCTTTTTTTGTCTCCCGTTCTCCCCCTTTCTGGAAAAAAACACAAAGAAGTGGCATCATAGAAAATAAAAAAGCCAATAGCGAAAAACAGCCAACCCCACACTGAGAACGAGGGAAAAAAAGAAAAGAAAAAGCCAATCCCATACACACAACATCAAGAAAACAGACTGGCGAAACAAAACCCCATCCTTTGAAACTAAAATAAGCAAAGCAAATACAAGAATAATAAAAGTTACAATAGTTACTCTGACAAGGGAACATGAGGTATATGCATACCCCCTTTCTCCCTCCCACAGGCATGGCTTATGCACAATGTACTATATGCAGGAACAGGCGAGACAACTGATAACAACAAACGCAACATAAAACAGCAGTAAAACACAAGAAGGGACAAGAAAACAAAAGAGCAATAAATAACAATCAAACATCGAACAAGAAGACCAGGGAAAATATCACAGAACTAAATTCAGGAGAAAAGAAATCAAGAGCTGATACATAAACATTCATTTCATCAGCATGAGGCAAATGCGACAAAGATATCAAACGGGGACAAGGACATTTCGCATTGCCAAGCGGAAGGCGTAAACGGGAGGAGGCTGGGGAAGGGGAAGGTGAGAAGAGCCTGAGTGAAGCGGAGAGGAATTAATTGGCTTAGGTTTCCAGGTAGGAGGTAGACGATACATGCCTATAACACCAGTCCCTGGCAACCTTTTCCTGATTCTGGAACTTCCAATGGGTCCGTTCCGCTTTCGAAACTATCGACCTCATTTGATTTGTCGGTTTCCAGCATGATCACGCCTCGAACAGCAATCACAGCCAATTCCATCCACCAGCCTGTGGCTGGGCTACCCAAAGAAATTGCTCAGTTCCCAAGGTGAGACGGATAGAGCGCTTGTAGAAACGTGTACCACTCGAGGAACATAGTGCTGGAAAACTGAAAACTGCAAAACAGAAACACCAGAACCCAGGAGGAGAAACAGTAAAACGAGTGGATATCAAGCGGTCGTAATTCAGAACAAACATGAGAAAAAAAGCCCGCTTGAGACGGAGAGAGACCAGAAACGAAACATGAATTTACGTCGAAGTGAAACCCCCGAAACCATCGGTGTGAGAAGGTCTGATTGAAAAAGGAAGGTTGGGTGTGCATTCCAGTTGGTTGACTAGAAAAGTATTGTTGGACAATCGTGACTTATAGACAGGGTAAGACCAATCTCGGATGAAGCGATATGGTTGCATTTTGATATAATCGCGTCCATCCGCCATCAAAAAAATTTCGGCTGGCCGTATATATGCCGAATAATAGTATTGGTTCCACTTCGTGATAAGTCTTGTCTTGATTTGATTTTCCAAAGGCATCCTTTTCGATAAATCCAAAATCAAAAAGCACGGCAATGACAAAAACTCCAAGCAAGAATATAGAAGGCAAAAAAAAAAAAAAAAAGGGAAGAAAGAAATGCAAGGAATCCCACATGTCCTGTCCCTGGATGTGGATGTTAATATGTACTTCGAAGAAAACCAAAACGTCGTTGAAACCAGTATCGTAAGTTACAATAATATGCAGGAATAAAGTCGGGATTCTATACAACAATAACCTGACCTTCTGCATCCGCAGGGTCAGATGCCATCATGTCTCCGTATTTACTGACTGTGAGAAGTCCGGAGTCATCCTCCAAGTCAATGGCGCTGTCGTCATGGGCCAGGGTTCGATTAGTGGGCGATGTATTGGCATTCGTAGCGGCAACTGTCTTTTCATTGCCGGAGATTGTGGACATCGAAGCGCTACCGCTACCATCTTGGAGGTATTGAGGGGACGAAGCCTGAACTATCGGGTTGATACTTGGGAGCTGCGATTGCGGTTGGGATTGGGATTCCTGTGACCTAGGGTCGCGCGACGAATGTGTGTCAGAATTAGCTGATGTAGATTGTACCGGGCATGGCTCAACTGTCCCTTGGGCAACATTTTGGGTAAGCAAAGATTCTTCTAATGATTTTGCGGTGCAACCCATAAACCCTCCCTTTTCCGCTTGCCACAACATCATTTCCAAAAAGAACACCTTGGTCATCCACCACGCACTGAAGCTTTGCGCGCCACCAAGTGTGAGTCGATGGAGCAATAGCGTCCATAGCGCGTCTGCTCTGTCGATAATGCACTGGGCTTTGTGATGGGGGAATAGAACAGGGAGGTTCAAAATGAAAGCGATCCATCGATCGGGAAATGGGGCAGATCCTGAGGTGTCCGTAGACGAATAGGAGAATTTTTGGTAGCCAAGGTCCTCATCATAGAGCTGCACGTCGGGAGATTTGCCATCGTCAGGGGCAATTAGAAACTTTATTTGGTCTTTCATCATGTTCAAAACCCCTTCAATAGCGCAGTTTGGAATTTTTGCCTTGGCAACAAGGTCCATTGGGTCAATATATGAAACGAAGTCTTCCCACATTTTCGTTCGATTTTCAGCATGACAGAGCCAGGCAGAAGCAGCAATCGCAGATTGATTGACATCTAACATGCGCTTCAGGAGGCGACAAAATATCCGTGCAGGGCTAAGTCGAGCTTGGGACACGTGGTTGGGATGAGATTTCAATGTATCTTTTATATGGGCGACCAGACCTCTAGAAATAGACCCGAAAGCATTCAGCACAGGATCTGGAACAACCTGGGTGGTTAAAGGGGCAACAAAAGCAATCATCTTCTGATACATCAGCCAGTCACACTCTTTAATCCAAGGTGCAACGCCCGGATGATTTAAGAGCTTGTGGACAGGAACGGTGAGTGTGCCTTGGAAAGAGGCGAAGTGGCGGAAGAGGTTTTTCTCTTTGCAATACCGAAAGCTATCGATGACTGATATACAATGTGAGCGGTATAGGGCCGCAAGCGCATCGGCGCTTTCGCTGTCTGTGTGCGCTGGCAGGTAACCATGAATGTTGGGAAGCTGAAGGGAATCATTGTCGATCGGTAGGGATTCATTTGGACGGCTGAATTGAAGCAGTTGATCCATCAGTCGTTGAGTTTCGATGAGAGAGGCGTCTACTGTTGCCATCATACTCAAATCTTTCGGCTGCGAATGATCGCATAAGTAATCTGGTGCCGAAGGATGCTGAACATTGGGTGTCGGAGAAGTTTTTCTTCTTGATGAAGTTCCATTTGTACTCGAGTTCGGTTGTTGTGAAGTACTGAAACAGCATGTTAGGAAGAGAGGAAGAAAATTCAAGGGGCATTGATTCGTACCTTTGTTGGGATTTGCTGGGCACCCTTTGATGAGAAGGAGCAGACTCGACATTCTTCTCTGAAATTTCTGCCAGGGGCTTTGGTTCAGGTTCTCGAATGGACAAGTCGACATAATGATATTTGGATTCGCCGCGGACCCCAAGCCGTCGAGTTTGGACATTTGGAAAAATAATGCGGACAAGCTTGCCAAAGGAGGCTGGATTCAGGACTGAAACCCTCTCACTGCCGCATTTCTCCGCATAGGAACAATATACGCGGTCGCGTCGAACTGATCCAGAATTTTTCTGGCAGTTTTCTCTCAACCTAGGGTTGAAGTCAGCCAAGCATACAAAGAACTGTTTTCATCCTTGGTTTACCATATCATCGCAAAAACCTGCTTAACCTTCTCCGACTTTCCTCCCGTGCCGTCATGTTTCTGTACTTCAGCAGCCATCTGGCGCAGAGAATATCCATCGTATTGACGCAGCAATCGACGTAGTTCATTATCATTGGCTATCGTTGTAGTTGTGCCTCTTCGTTTCCTGGGTCCGGGTTCGGAGCCTTCGTTATCGCCCATCAAGTGATCTGGGATCTGGTTCTCGACGCCATCATACATTTGGGCATAGTGGCCAGTGTGAACGTCACCTGGGAGGCCGGTAGGGGGTAACTCTATTGGAAGTCCATGCATTGGCATTCTGTGAGTATGGACCTCGTGGCCTTGAAAGCGAATGTCAGTTCCGGGTCCGGCAATATTGTCTGGGCGTTCTTGCAGCGCAGGGTCAATAACAATACCGGAATGCGAATTAGCCAGCTGGTCACCAAAGCGGATGATCATCTCTCTGGGTTCGAATGATATATATGCTGGTTCGGGCCGGCCTCTGGGTGAATATACGGTTGATATCCCTCAGCGACATTTTGGTCTGGGTTATATTGGGTTGTAGTGGAATGGATGCTCGCGGTCGAACCGCGCGATCTTGATGGCCGACTATTCCGGGAAGCAGAGGTATTGGAACGTGATCGCACGGGTTCTATTGTGCTCTGGCGGGTCCGTGATCGCGGTTGTGAGTTCTGTGGGAGGGAATTGGAGCCTTGGGAAGGATGTCGCACTAAACGGTATTAATTAATAAGACATAATAGCGATTCCGGCCCAGCCGCCTGTGACGAACAAACACCACTGCATTGAACCAAGTCCCGACTAATGCTACAAGACAGATACATACCAATATCGGGGACCATGGCTGAATGGTTCATATCCAACTGTGCTGTTGACTGGCAAAAAGCTTTGCCAGTTTATTGTGGGAACCAAGTCGCAGGGATTGTTTTGATTGATATTATTATTCGAGGGATGGGATAGGCGAAGGCCGGGCGTAGACGAAGACGTAATCGTGGCGGCATCAACCTCAGGCAAAGAAGAAGGAAACGTATAGACAAATCAGATCATATCACGCTAGAAATGGCTCGTTATTGTCGTTGTTATCGTCGCCGTCGTTGTGGAAAATCGTGCTGATGGACGTGAGTATTTGCTGTGGATGGTGTGCGTAAACATGATGTTGTTGATGGGGAAACGCTTTGCATGTTATTCCCCGATTGGGACAGGACAAGTCACGCGACTGGGGGAGAACAAACACAGCAAACATTGGCATTCCCAGCCACATTTCCCAGCCACATTTCCCATAAGCCACGGATGATACGATCACGTGCAGCTGTCACCTGGCTGAGTCATCATCACACTTCCCCTGCCCAAAATTTGGGTGTAATGATACATAACTCTACATACTCCGTACACGCTCGAGACAGGCTTAATTATTAATACCGAATACATTACGTCGTTTGCTCGTCACAAGAGCGATCTACTCTGCGTATTTATTCCGGCCTGAATAAATAATATTAAATACCAACAACACCTTTGGAAGCGGGCTTGCCAACCTCCTTCAATCTCCATCCCATCCGCCAACTTCCAACCTCCTCCTGTTATTTTTCGTCCACCCTCTGTCCTCTGTTTGTGAGTTACCCATATCGGTTGCTATCAGCAAATACTACTCTGCTTCATTTACGAATTGACGTCTCTTCCTTCAACCTAACACTACGGCTCCGCTGGCATTTATCTGTCCTAGCAATTTAGTAGCCTGTCCGCACGCACACCGCATCCACCATGTCTTTCCAAGATCGTGCCCAGCACCAGATCGCTCAGATCGATAAGGAGGTATGTACATTCATTTATTATCATGTTCCCTTATCTAGCACAATTTCGTCATGAAATGAATAAATCTCCGTTGAATACGGCTGTGCGTTCCTGGCTTCTCTGCGTAGCGCACAAAAAAGGGCAACTCTCCCTCTACTCAAAAAACCCCAGATATTAATTCGATTACTATCAACTATAGCTGTCCAAATACCCCATCCTGAACAACTTCGAAAGGCAGACCTCTGTTCCAAAGGTCTATGCCTTCCTCGGACTCGTCGGCATCTACTTTTTCCTGGTGTTCTTCAATATTGGCGGAGCTTTCCTGGTTAACTTCGCTGGCTTCCTCATTCCGGGATACTACTCTCTCCAGGCTTTGTTTACAACCACAAAGACGGATGATACTCAGGTATGGTTCATTGTTCTTGTTGCCCTGCCTACCGTTCCTCACTTTCTGTTGTCTTTGATGAGCGTGATTTGCTAACATGCGCGGAATTTACCTATAGTGGTTGACGGTTCGTACCAATGACTTCCCAGGGGTCATGAAGCCACCCATCCCCGTGTAATCCCTCCCGCCCGCATGATGTAATACTAATCACATGCAAATAGTACTGGGTTGTCTATGCCTGCCTGACTGTTGTTGAGAGCGCTATCAGTGCTGCCTATTGGTTCCGTATGTCCTTTACAATTCTAGTTTCTCGGTGTTTCTCGGTGCCTCTCTTCATGACATGTATACTAACAAGTTGCGTGTAGCATTCTACTATATGTTCAAATTTGTTCTTATTCTGTGGATGGCTCTTCCCCAGACTAGGTAAGCAAGTGCTTCTGAAATATCCCATACATGATGCCATACTTTCTTGCGAGGTTGAATACCCATCCATCCTTCTAACTCACACCGATCAAAACCAATTAGCGGCGCACAACTTGTCTTCCATTCCTTCCTTCAGCCAGTCTTTTCCCGGTATTTCACCAGTGGATCTACTGCCTCCAACCTCCGCTCCCAGGCAGACCAGGCCACCAAGCCCCACTCGTCCTAAAACCATGTCGAAAACAGAAAGAGAACGGTTGGTCCGGAATTGAAAGGCGACATAAAAATTTCTCGGCTCTTCGTTTACGGTACCCATGCGACTGAACTTCTGCCGCCAGCAGCTTGACTAGTTTTTTATGTCTCCTTTCAACACCCGCTAGTTTTATGAGACATGATATATAAGGTTTTTGTCAACAAAATTGTATCAGTGGAAGGGTTTCTTGTGCACAATGCGGTTCTCTATATGTAGCAACCTCCCCCATATACTGAGAACTGCAAAATTCGGTCCTCCTTTTTTTTTCGTTATTTTTGTTATTGTTCGTTTAGATTGTTTTTGAGGAGCGTCGGTATGAACGTCACGGAATATGGGGTGGCGAGTGAGGGGCAGAAGGATCGGGGATCCTGGGGGGCTCGTGTAACTCATTTTTTTTTTGTTTCTTCTGTCTTCCGGTTCCCTTTTTTCCTTTAGGCATTCATATTCATATTTTTCCATCCTTTCGCTTCTCCTTTTATGATCCGTACTTTTCCCTGAATTGTGATATATACTATTGGCCCCTGATTCAATAATATCGTTTCCCGTTTTTATGGCTGCTGCCCCTGGGACGATAGAATAATAGCAGGGAGCGAGAGAGTGGGACGACATCGCTCTCTTCTTCCTTCTTGGGCGGGGGTTGTTCAGCTGGAGGAACCCCCTCTTAACTCCGTTGCGTGTTGAACGCTCAGCTTCCCGCTTTGACAAAAACCGGCGGTTACAGATGATAGGGGGTAAGGTAGGGTCTGTTTGCTTAATCGCGACCCTGGGGAGAGGGGGGGGTTGCGCGGGAATGTAGAGGAAAAACATTTGGTGTATCTTTGACGTGGGAATGACTGCCACCGATCACTTCGCACATCGGATCCGCAGAAACCTTGGAAGGCAGGGGGGGGGGGATTGAGGGACTCAATAGAGCCCAAACTTATTGCCCCAACTGTCCAACTTGGGATTCAGCACGATCTGATACGGGAACGGATTCGAGTCGCTCGTGGTAATAGGCGGGATGTGATCTTTGTCTTTATTGACGATAGCAACGATTTTAAATGCGGCCTTTTGCAGCATTTTCTCCATGGCTTTGCGGACTTTTGCGCGATCTAGTTAACCGGGGGAAGAATTGAGTTGAGTATATATATTAGTTTTCCAAGCGTTTGTAAACAAAGGGGGGACCAAGAAGAAAGTAGCACATACCCGACTCCGTCCGCGGCGTCGCAATCGTAACATCAACCGTCCAAATCTCCCAACATACCTCCTCCTCATTCATTCCCCCACCTTCCCTACCACCACCACCACCACCACCACCGCTCCCCCCAGCACCCCCCCTCCCCGCCAACCCGCCCACAAGCCACCTCCCTCCCCCAACAAGCCCGGCCCCAAACCCCAACGGCCCCGCACTAGCCTTCCTCCTCCTCTTCTCGAAAAACTGCACAGCAATGCGCCCTCGCACGCCGCCATTGGGCGAATTGGCCGACGACGATAGATGCTGGCGGATCAGGGAGTTGACGCGGGCGTCGATGAGGGTTTCGAGCTCGACGTCGCTAATGGCGGGGAGGGTGAGGTTTAGGACGTCGAAGGAGGTGGGGCGGATGCAGGGGAAGTAGCGGTGGAAGAAGATTGTGTGGAGGATGCCTGTTGTTTGTTGTTTGTTGTTAGTTTGTTAGTGAGGTTTTATATATATATATATATATATATTTAAGTGGGGGGTTTGTTAGGGGGAAGGAGTTGTAGGAGGAGGGTGAAGAACATATTCTGTGTGCTGTGCTGTGGTATTCAGACGGGTATATATACGCACCTTTCACAATATCCTTAACGGAAGTGGGATCAGCGAAGACCTCGAGGATATACTCTGGAGGCTTGCGAGGATCCGTCTTTGGCGACAACATGGTTAACTATTTGTTTTCTTTCCGTTTTCCGTTTTCCTTCTTTCTCCCACTCGATCCTTGTTATACAATCTAATATATATCTTGGTTCTCCCCCCTTTTTTATTCTTTTTTTTTTTTGCTCTTCTCCGTGCGTTTTGCGTAGGGATGCTTTTCTTCCTTTCGAACGATTGTCCGCGAATGTTAATAGATGTCCATGTGCGGAAGACAGAAATGCGATTGTGGGAGGTGGAGCGGGGAAAACGAGGATGTCATTAGTGTGAAGCACAGACTGCGGAAGGGGTTTTTTTTTTTCTTTTTCGTTCTCCTCCCCTTTTTTTCCTATCTTCTCTTTCTTTTGCAGGTAGAAGGTAGGTGTGCGATTGTGGAGGTTTCAAGTTGGAGCAGAATTGATATCTCTGTGCAACAACGGGACGAACAGACGGGGAGGCGGGGAGGCGGGGAGAGTATGTAGAAGCCAGATTTTTCGATTATAAAGCGGGGTTTATTTTTGCGCCCGCAGCTTTTTTTTCTTCTTTTCTTTTTGTTCGTTTTTTTTTTTTTTTTTTTTGGTGTAACTTAACTAGTTACGGCTCTATCAGCTCAGCTGAAAAGTAGTTATTTAAGCTCCTGCATGCAGCTTGTACGAGTTAGGACTCGAAACTTAGTTAACACTGAACGCTGGTACGAGACGCACCGTGAAGCAACGGGGGGGACATTGATCGTAGTAGTAAGTAGGTAATGATCAATGGGCAGACGCCTTATTAGCAGAAGAGCTGTTGGAGAATCATGCCAGTTACCAGGGCGGAGGGCGGAGGAGCGGAAGAAAGCGAACAGTGGAAGAAGATGGACAAGAGACCGCTCATTCTTTTTCATGTGTGTGCGTTGTGCTCAGCATAGAAAAGCAGTTTTAGTATAGTAACTTATAGCACACACTACCTACCCCTCCATGACGGGATTCCCGGGTTCTTGTTTAGTGCTTTGTGGCTGGATAATTCCTTGTCTTGATTGACTTTAACAAGATCATATCCAGAATCTGGCTTTTAAATAAGTTGGTTGGTGACTTATTAATAAGTCCGTCGTTTAGAAACTGGTCGCCACTCTCTCCTCTCTCTCGGCTTCCACCGGTTTTTTTCATTGGAGACAGATGAAAGCAAATATCAATAATCAATATAAATAGGTGAGTGGGTTGGAACATCTCGAAGACGCCGCCGATTCTCCTAAATAGACCATAAGAAATTGGACATTTAGCACCCGTCCCTTCCCCAGGGCTAGCTGATTGATATTTTGATATTGCTATGAGATTGGGAGGCATACATTATACATATAGTATACATTTATTTAAACAACCAGAGGAGCGTTTATCCACGCAAAGATCCTCTCCATACTTGAAATTATGTCATTGTTCAGACCAGTACCTGTACAACCATAACCAGAGCTGTCTTTCTAACACGATTAACCAATATCACAAATATTATGTATATGGCATTTACTGCACCTGTCGTAGTCAACAATTTTTCTTTTTCGTTTTCTTCCCCCGTGTACATACAAATAGAAAGGCCAGCTAAAACAACTTTTCAGCTTGACATTAACCCTGATAAATATCAAAGAACCTCCCATCTGAAGTACACATTCACTACACCCTCTCCTCAGCATCACTTTTCAGTGCTTGAAATAAACCTCAAAGCTGAACTGCTAACTGGAATTGACACTCTGCATTCAAAAAACAAACAAGAATGAGCACTTCATGGGGTTTTCAAACCAGTGCAGCACACCATAGAAGCAGAAAGAGAAAAAAAAAAGACACAGCTCATCTAGCCATCAATATCATTTCTTTGTTCAACAGTTCACAACAGTTCATGAATCTGTTCTGGGATCAGCAAAGGATTTTGAAAAGTAAACAAGGATGAACATTCAGAGGGTCCAATTGTTAGCAGTATACCATAAAATGAAGAAGTAAAACAATGAGAAGACAGTCCACCCAGCCATCATTCCTCCAGTTTAATAGATAACGGATCTGCTCCAGGGTCGGCGAAGCATTCGAAGTCCTCCCACTCATCTGGGGCGTTTCTTTCCCAAGGGAGTATCAGTTTTCTTCCTCCGATGGAGATGAAGTCGCTGATAGCCTGATCGCTGAGCTCCTGACGAAGCTCTAAAATATGGTAAAATCCGAACTGGAATTTCTCAGCGCACTGGTCGGTTAATAGTCTGCGCATCCATCCAGGGCCATCCTGCGACATAAAAATTCCACGTCAAAGGCATCACTCCGCCGCTTCTTTTGTCCGTTCTCATCATCTTGTCGAAGATAGAAGCATTTTATTTTCATCGCTAACGCGTACTCAAGGTTCGGAACACGAATTCGGCGAAATGAGAGTAGGTGATGCCCCAGATTCTCCAATGTCACAGTTTCGTAAGGATGTCAATAGTGACAGCTTCACCACCACCAAAACGAAGTCCCCCTCCGATGTTGGAAAAGCCGGGCTGGTCGGCCAGCACACTGATCAGCGTGGATATGTTTTCTTTGGCAGAAACGAGAATGTCGACATCATTTGTTGTTCTGTTGCTCCCAAGCAGCTGCATCGCCGCCCCGCCGATCAACACAAAACAATTCCCGAGGCACTTCTCAACTGCCTGAATGTAGGCTCGGGCATTTTCAGCTTTGGTGGACATCGCTCTAAATGAACGCTCGATTGGGTGATGCCTCTGAATTCACACGTAACACTGCAAGGTAGCTAGCTGTCTGTTTGTCCACCAACAGACTCTTATTGTTATGGTGCCATGAAGACCTCCTGCAAATTATATCAGGCACGGGGAGGATAGGGGCAAAGAACGAGGCACTTTTTTGTCGAGGCCTGCTAGAGCTAAATAGGATAGAGAAGTCGCAATATGAATGTGAGTAGGGCGAGGAAGGAGAAGGGACGAGAATACGAGTAAACTTAGGCAGAGCTACAAAGAGGAAAGAGATCCCCACGAAGGCAGGGAAACTTAGCATTCGCTGGCGGTGCCGCAAGATTGAAAGGGGTTCTGCGTATCAATGCCCAGGACCTAGCCAGCAGCTCAATTTTCTCAGCCAATCCAGAATATAGTATACCTTCACCATGTCAGATGTCATCCTGAATGCATTTTGCAGGGTTATCCGTTTAACTAGTGGTAGACAGATCAATACTCTTCGGATGTTCTATGTCGCGCTCCTCTTGAAGCTTGCTATTTGCACGATCTCGGTACTTCTGTTTTAAATATAGCCGCAAGCTTCAGGTCCCTCCTTGGAACCAGAGCTCCTGCTTCTTCAGGAGTTACAATCCCCGCGCGGATCTGCTGCCTCTGATAACAGACCTTCTGCCGCACGGGGCGCATTATGACTTTGAGGAATAGCTCGATAAAGAATTGATCCTCACTAGGAAGGTATGCGATTATATCTTTGACAAAACTCAGTAGGTATACATAGTGACATCCAAAGTAAGAGGTAATGGTATAATTTAAGCCTTTAGCCGAATAGCGGTCAGCGACTATATCAATTATAGCTAACATATAGATAGTCATGTTTAATGTCATAATGTTTTGAAGAACCGAGCTCACCTCGACAGGCTGGCCCGGTTATCAATTTTTACCTAATGGTGCTGATGATTGGATGACAAGCATCATTATCATGCCTGCAAAATTCTGGAATCTCGATTTGAGTCGCGATGCCTAGAGTAGAGACATCTTTCTCTTTCAAAATACCCCTTCCTTGCGGAGGCTTGTCTATTTTGTTGTGCTCTCCTTGACTGCAGTTTCGTCAAAGAATATCTCATGAGTTTGCGGAACTTCTTCGTAACCCCTCGAAGCGAGAGCTGAACGGGCAGTTTCCAGTTGCTCATCTGCAATTGCGAATTGGAAACCGAAGGGGATCGGTGGATAGTTACCCAACGGCAACGAGAATGAGATCACCGACGATACAGTGTCTCACACCTGCGTCTTTTGAAGATTTCTTCAGGGGCCCAGTCGGATTTTGCCAAACTAAGTTTTTCGTAACCATCCATCATGGGCGTATACTGTTAGAGGCGTAAGAAGTAAAGAACTAGATATCAGAAAAGCAGAAGGGATAAAGGGGATCACCTCTGCGGATCATGTGGTAATCATGTGATAAATCAAAGCCCTGGCAAATCAGTGGTATTGACAAGGAAGTTGGCTAGGTTATAACTATTTAACCTCTAAGTACTCCGTAGTTAACTTTTATAAACATAGCAATAACCTTCCTGATCAAATACCCTTCCCGATAACCTTGTACCGCCACACCAAAATTTGTATGTAGTGTTACTTTTGAAACAAATAACTATAACAAACAAATCAAGGTAGCGCTACATATAAATTTTGGTGTGGCGGTACAAGAGCTTTACGCTGCGGTAACTAACTAGGTACAAAGTTGATGACGTAAGTCAAGACAAACACATGATAACTTAGCCGAGGATCTTTCCATGTCGGCTCCGGCGCGGTTGGCTGGTTGCAGCTGGCGGACGGAGCTATACCTAGGTAATCACCGTGCTGGGCAAGAGACAACCCAAACGCGGCTCTTTTACGCTCTTCTTTGCAGTTTCTGAGAGTCTGCAGGTCTACGTCTTTACTAACAGACTTGAGCCATGAGATAACTTAACCACCTGGCTGTAAATTGAATTGCGATCCTTCATATTCTTGAAGACCCGATCTCAGCCCAACCCCGATCTTTTTTCGAAATGATAGGCGCGACGAGACGCTGGTTTCGCCGCCATCGCAATGGTATAGCTATTGGAGTTGGCGTTGTTGGAGCGGGATATCTGGCCGGCCAATATGTTCTATCGAAGATCTCGGAGAGCAGGGAGCGCATGAGTAGTGAGCGGATTGCCCGAGAGAAGTACTTATCCCAGCGAGGACAACTCCAACCCTCCCAAAAGAATCTGGACATCTTTACAAATGCTTCTATATTTTACATGGTCTGACATTCCCTTTCATTCTGCCACTGCAGTCTGCGAAGGAGATTTGAACAAAACCAGACGGACTGCACTTTTACAGTGCTTGCCTTGCTCCCGACGGCGGCGGAGAATATTCTTGAAGCTCTACCCGTGGAGGAGTTGACAAAGGAGTTGCAACAGAAGAAGGCTGAACGGCTTGCAAAACTAAATGCTGGCGAGATTACGGGCTCAGATATTAGTAGCTTAGGTGCCCAGAGTGCGACGGAGGACGATGGGCGGAGCCTTTCGAGCTTACGGAGTGAGGGGTACGTGCATACCAGCCAGGTTGCGGATAGCTCTTCGGGACTGGAGACTCCTAAATCGAAGAGCAGGACACAGTTGTGGAATGATCTGAAGATAAATTGTGAGTTTGAACCCGTATAAAAGAAGAGAAATCAAGGCTCCGGTTGTCCCTTTATGTTTATTTATTTATTTTTTCTAACGGATGAGGTAGCTTTGACGAGATCCTTTACTCTGATATACACACTTTCCCTCCTCACCCTCCTCACGCGCATCCAACTCAACCTCCTCGGCAGACGAAATTACCTCTCGAGCGTGGTATCGCTTGCCTCTCCTCCGCAGAATCAGTCAACAATCAATCTTGAGGACCACGACGATGAAGGTATTGGACATGCATTTGGCAATGACTTTGAAACCAACCGTCGTTATCTTACATTCAGCTGGTGGTTGCTACATCGCGGCTGGCGACAGCTGATGGAAAAGGTCAAGGAAGCTGTAGAGGAGGTGTTTGGACCAGTAAATCCACGAGTGGATATCACGCAAGAAAGGCTGTCCGAATTGACGCTCGCTGTGCGGAAGAAGGTTGAAGGTGCCACGGAAGAAGAGCGGAGGTAAGCCCACCCACTCCGTCCTGTCCACATTTTTTATACTTCTCTCTGGTTGGTAACATACTAATAAGGAACCCTATTCACAGATCGACGAAATGGCTATCATACCTTCTCCCCTCGCGGGACCAGGAAGATTACGTTCTCAAGGAATCTGGCGTCCTCTCTGCCTCAGAAACCTCATCTCTCCAAAATCCTTCCAGCCTCCGCCATCTCCTAGACGAGACCTCCGACCTCATCGACTCCCCGCAATTCACCCAAATCCTTACCCTCCTCAACAACGAAGCCTTCTCCGCATTAATCGATAACAAATGTGCCATCGAAGCCTTCAAAAGCACCACCCCTGCCCATCAGACCCCAACTGCCCAAGAAGGCCAACAACAAGAACCACAAAACTTCTCCTCATCCGTAACCCTCACCCAAACCACATACGACTCCACATCTACCCCCGTCTCCAAAGCCAAACTCGCAACCATCCTAGCGGTAATCGCCCGCCAAGCACACGTCATCGGAAACGGTACCGAGCCCCCCAACGACTACATCACAGCCATGGAACAAGGCGTACGCGAACTCGAAGCCTTCGCCGCAGTCGTATACAGCAGCAACTTCTTTGACGCGAAACTGCCTGTCCCCGGCTCGAACCCGGAGGGTGGGGCGTGCCCTGGTGAACCGTCGTCGATGGCTGCGACTCACATTGCTAATGCCACCAATGACGATGCGCCGTCGTGGCGTAATTCGCCTGGTTTCGCTGCGACAGCTGAGGTGGGCGGGTTGGGTGAAGGCAAGGAGGAGGTGGTGGTGGAGGTAGGGGCCGAGGAGAGTATCGTTGACCTGGGAGCCCAGCCTTCAGGCGATCATGGTGCTACTACCCCGAGTTTTGAGAAGGTTTGGGGGAAAGCAGTTGAGGAGCAGCAGCAGCAGCAGCAACAGCAGGAGGAGGAGTGTTCTTCGTGACATGCTATGTTATATTTATCTAGTATTATTATTATTATTATTATTATCTATTTCTACTTTATATTATTGGGTACAATTCTATCATTCTTTTTTCTACTACATATCTTGGATTTTCTTTCTTTCTTTCTTTCTTTCTTTCTTTCTTTCTTTTTTTTTCGCGCTTTTAGCTTGATCATTCACAACCCCTGGATTAATAGTAAATCTATTAGATTTCGCCATGTGCTTTTATGCTTTTATTGTGTGTGCTTTTATGCACTTGTTTCTCATCCACTGCTCATACCCTATAGACAACCTTAAGGTATGTGTGTGTGATTTTGTTTTTTCTTGTACCTAGTGTGAACCGGGCTACGACTCTCCCTGCACTGAACGCACCCGAGCAAGGTCTAAAACCCCCTTCTAGGAGACTTGGCTTGCACAAGCTCAGAATAAATACTGTACATATTGGAACGACTAATCCTCGGAGTGTTGTCCCTCTTCTTCTTAAGCGTACAGAGTGCATTTTAACGTGAGAGGTTCACGTTCGGGATACCTGACTTTGGTGGAAATATACCGTGTGTATAGTGACTTTGTATCGGCGTATGGGGGTGGGGTGGTCGAGAGAGGAAAGTGAGAGTCGGAAGTCACTAGCTGTGCTAAGGTGAGGATCACGATCCTTTTCTGGCCGGTTGGTTTGGTATTTCTCATACTTCTACTCCGTGTATATGCATCACGAGATTGTGTTAACATTATAAGTAATGCGATTCGCATGTCATTGCCAGGCATTTCTTCATGGACAATTGCAAAGAAGCTGAGTAGTTAGCACAGGAGCAATGGCAAATTCAGAATCAGCGCCATTTAGAGATGGGGCGGGAATGATCAGCATCGATATATCCGTAAATCCCTCGTTGCTTCTTCTTGGGGGGACTGAGTTGGCGCGTGATCATGTATGTCGGTAGGAATGCCCGAAACTAACCCCCGGACCCACTAGCGGGAAGACGCCCCGAGAGCCCGCCTGAGCCTGATATATGGGGGGGGGTACTTAACTAACGTTATAGGCGGTGGTAGAGGGGGGAGCTCCGTAAGGCAGGCATTTGCATTCTTGGCTGCGGAGGCCACCCACACCACACCACATGCAAGTATTATACTCGCGTACTCCGTACTCTTAACTACTCTGAATGGCCACTAGGGGGGGAGTTTTAGTTTAGCTCACAGATATTTTTTAAGCGCGGGATTCTGTCTGGTCCTTTCATTATGCCAACCCAGAAAATGGCATCATTCTGTAACTAGCTCCGAGCTAGCTAACTAACTAACCAACCCGCCACCGAACGAGAACGATAAGCTCACTCAAAGCAAGCATGCCCGCTGAGCTGCGGTGGGTGGTGAGAAAGCTCGACATGGAGTTGTTGTTGACGTCGTCTTCCAATCTCCTACTCCCCCTTCCTCTGCTGCCAGCAGAGCTCCTTAAAAAGGGAGGCTGGAAAGAAGAGTTCTATTTATTCTCTCTCCTCTTCCTATATTCATATTTCTTCAGTCATTTGTTTTCTGTCTGAAGCTGCCTAGGGTTCATTCGAACCTGGTTCTTTGCGGGCACTCATGGCATCTTCAGCTGGAAACATGACGGTGATGGCCTCCCCAACACCTACGACCAGAGCAACCCCTCAGGGAGGAATTTTTGATCATTCTAATCCGTCGAAATATGATCCCAAGAACCCCATTACCCTCTTCATTATTCAAGTGAGTCGCCAATAATACGTTTATTTACCATCTAGGATTCTATGCTTCTTGGAGGATGCTGTGCTAATAATACTACCCCGATCCACCAAGGCCGGCCTTATCATTCTCATATGCCGTGCCCTTCACTACCCTCTGTCAAACATTCGCCAGCCCCGAGTCATATCTGAGGTCGTTGGCGGCATCATATTAGGCCCATCTGTCATGGGTAGAATACCTGGATTCCGCGATGCCATTTTCCCCGAAGAATCAATTCCAAACCTCAATCTGGTTGCCAACCTCGGCCTGGTGCTCTATCTGTTTATGATCGGAGTCGAAACCAATATGCGCTCTATGTTGAGCAATTGGAGGGTTGCTGTAAGCGTGTCTGCCGCTGGTATGATCCTACCATTCGGACTCGGTTGTGCAATTGCCTATGGTTTGTACAACGAATTCAGAGGAGACCCGGCTCTGGCTCCAATTAATTTTGGAACCTACATGCTTTTCATAGGTATCGCGATGGCTATTACTGTAAGTTTATTCCCTTTCCAAATGCTGCTTAGGTTCGTTCGCAGGTGTAACCCTCTTTTCTTCTTAGGCTTTTCCTGTCCTTTGTCGTATTTTGACGGAGCTTGAACTCCTAAACACGACAGTAGGCGAGATCGTGCTTTCTGCCGGAGTCGGCAATGACGTTGTTGGCTGGATCCTTCTTGCTCTCTGCGTTGCCCTCGTCAACGCAAGCACTGGATTGACTGCCTTATGGGTCTTGCTGACCTGTGTTGCATTCGTCCTATTCTTGACTTTCGCTGTGCGGCCTGTGTTCATCTGGTACCTGAAACGCACTGGCAGTTTACATAATGGCCCTGATCAGTCTGTCGTCGCGTTGACTTTACTTCTCGCCCTGGGTGCTGCATTCTTTACTCAAGTTATAGGTGTGCACGCAATTTTTGGTGGGTTCTTAGTTGGACTCATCTGTCCTCATGAAGGAGGGTTCGCCATCAAAACCACAGAAAAGATCGAGGATTTGATAGGAGCCGTTTTCCTCCCGCTATACTTCGCGCTTTCAGGGCTGAACACAAATATTGGTCTACTTGACACGGCAATGACATGGGGTTACGTGATCGCCGTTATAGTCATCGCGTTTGCAGCAAAAGTTGCTGGAGGGATGTTTGCATCTCGACTGAATGGGCTGGTTTGGAGGGAAAGTGCTGCCATCGGTGTGCTAATGAGCTGTAAGGGGTTGGTTGAACTTATTGTCCTGGTAAGCAAGCTTCGCGCCACAGTCATCACTCTGTTTACTCAAAAGTCGTTGGCTTACGAACTGTATAGAATATCGGTCTCCAAGCCAGGATTCTCAGCGGCAGAACTTTTACGATTTTTGTTGTCATGGCACTTGCTACTACATTTGCTACGACACCACTTACTCTCTACCTTTATCCGGAATCGTATCGGGATAGAATGGAGAGGTGGAGGCGTGGAGAAGTCGATTGGGACGGAAATGAAATCTCATCGGAAAGTGATCCATCCAACAGTTCAGATATCGCGCAACGGAAAGCACGAGGTTCATCAACACAGAAGTTCCTCGTTTATTTGCGACTCGACAACTTGGCAGGGCTTTTTACCTTTGTCTCTCTCTTGGGTCTCGGGGATGGTTCAAAAACTCCTAGTAGTAAGGTCCACCATCGCCATGAAGACAAGAAAATCGATTTGTTCTCCAAGAAAGAACGCCCTGTGGAAGTTCATGGCCTTCGTTTAATTGAACTTACCGACCGTGATTCTAGCGTAATGAAGGTATCAGAAGCCCGTGATTATAGCTTCAGCGACCCAATTTTGAATACATTTAGAACCTTTAGCCAGCTGAACACACTTACTGTGTCCGGTGCTGTCGTCATTTCTCCTGAGCACGCGTATGCCGAGACGATTGTCAACAAGGCCCGTGATCTCTCATCGGACTTTATTCTACTCCCTTGGAGCGAAACCGGAGGCATGAGCGAGCACCAGATTCTCCTTTTCGACGATAAAACAGAGAAATTCTCGACTGGCCCTCACACTGCATTTGTGTCTAATATTCTAAAGAATGCTAAATGCCCTGTCGGAGTTTTCGTTAACAAAGGCTTCGGCGGACCACAGTTAACCAGGCCACAGCCAGGACATTTGAGCCGTTCCGTCAGCGGCACTAGTGTCTACAAATCGGCTGATATTACATTGTCTCCAGCACTGAACCAAGGACACCATATCTTCTTTCCTTACTTTGGAGGTGCTGATGATAAAGTGGCCCTCCGCCTCGTCCTCCAGCTCGCCAAAAACACGACCGTAACTGCCACAATTATGCATGTTGATACGACTGACGAGGTTAGCCCCGCATCTTCTACCCAAGAAGATGCCAATGTGCCACCAACGCCAAGCTCTCAGGATAAGGATGCCGACAATTCCTTCTTTAACGCTCTCCGTGACTCTGTACCTGAAGCACTCAGTTCCCGTGTAATTTTCCAAAATCTCAAAACAACACCAACAACTATTGTCACCGCCGTCTTAGATGCCGCACAAGCCGATGTTGGAAAATCGAAGGAAAATACCGGCGACCTTGTCATCGTTGGACGTACCAACGTGGCTACTAGCACGCTCACATCCGCAGGACTGTCCTCCTCAGGGGAGATGGGCTCGGAAGCAAAGCGGGCGCTTGGTGTGCTTGGGGAAGCCTTGGCCGCTACTTCGAATGCGGTTCAAGCGAGTGTGCTTGTGGTGCAGGCTGGTCCGAACGTATAAGTAAATGTATGCCTTGTCGTTTCTGATGGTGGTCTTATATGCACGGAGCCTACATCTTGATATGCTTATGACCTTTCTTTGGGTTACTCGGATTTCATGGACGTGTTATGCCGTACATTTTGAAGCGATTTGTGTTGAATTCTTTTTGGGTCATTATTAATGTGATATACGGTGATGGTGGATTTTTCCTGCGATATTTTGGCTGGATATGAATTTGAGTTTCTGATAGAGGGATGTTTTCTATTTCGCCCGTTCGACATCTTAAGAGTTTACTATCATTCCATGCACTAGCCTTGTTCTCATGCTGGACGTACGTTACCAGCTCAACAGCCCCTGCTACCTTCATGACAACCGGATATATGTATCGCCAGAAAAGGAAATCCCAAAGACGATGTACTGGACATAGTATCAAAACAATTTAGCTCCTTTTTCATCACCTCGCCCGTCAACATCCTAGGTGGTTTTGAGCAGTGGCATGCCATTAATCTATGAATTCCGTCTCCTAGATCCTTTCTACATAACAATGACTAGTATCTCATCTCTTTGGTGCCCTAGTTTTGTTCTCCCTTTTCGGGAGAATGCCATGAGCAAATTATGTCGGATTGTTGATTGTTGGATCCTGTACACGCAAGGTTTTCTAACCCAAGCGTTTTTTCGGGGGGCTAGAACAACACCCCTTAACCCCTCAAAGTTATGGCGGATATTTGGCTTTGAGAGGGAGGCAACAACGTGGTATACTCACGAACGAACATCTTACCGGCGAGGATTTGGAGGATCTCTACAGATGTATGGATGTCCATGTACATGTACGTATATCAGCAAGCGCGCTCATCGGAATTTTAGAGCGTATTTGACGCATGATTGAAATGTGCTTCTTTCTTCTATTTTTCATATCTGGGGAAACACCAAAGCCTCCGAACAACTAGTTAACTAGTGTTTAGCGCAATATTTCTGATTGAGCGAGATTTCCCAGATAAAGTGACATTGGTTTCTTTCTTTCTAGGGCGCGGTTGCATGGAATATATTGGTTGCCTTGTGTATATTATACATATCATCATCCAACTGCCAAATCCACAAAAAACCAAATCACTAGTGTGACCGAAAAAAAAAAAAAAAAAAAAAAAAAAAAGGACCGCAATTTACAACTGATATCTATACGAGGGACTCAAATCACCTAGATGAGGGTCGATAGCTGCTTGATCGGGAACCCCTGCAGTATCAACTGCAGCCAGCTTGTCGCGGCTACGGTTACGGTGTAGCAGGAGGAAGAAATAAGCGATACAGCTGACAGAGGAGAGACAGATGAATGATACACTGATTGTGTGCCCATTTCTGAACTCGGGCCTATCCTTCTCGAGGAACGCGAAGGTTGCGATGATTCCACCGACTGTTATTTCAGGGTTATTAGTATTCTTGTCCTACCCAAAAAAAAAAAAAAAGAAAAGAAAAGAAAGAAAAAAGAAAGAAAGAAAAGAAAAGAAAAGAAAAGAGAGAGAAGTGAAGAAAAATTCAAAGTGCACGCTGTGAAGCGCTTAACGCATATAACAGGCAGGGGAAGAAGAAGAAGAAGGTTGCCAACTCACTATTTCCAAATCCAATCTGCCATGCGATGCCGATAGACCTGCGCTTATGACCGCCAAGGTTCATAGCGTACCAGCAAATGATGATTGGCATGGCGCTGAATACGCCACAAGTAACCAAGAACAGGGCACCATATTGGACCGAGCGATTTTCTTTGCCGTGCACATTAAGGAGAATGGCGAAGCCCGCAATCGCGATGCAAGTTGGGATGACGGTGAAGACGAAGCGGTTGCGCAGACGGTCAGATAGGTATGCGACAGCGAGGGAGAAGCAGAAGGCGGCGGCCCAGGGAGGGATAGAGTAGAGTTGGGTTTGAATGGCTGTGAGGGGAGATGTTAGAGGGCATGTATTGAACGAAGATTTTGGTCGATCCTTCGTGTGAGGGCAACTGGTGGAGTTACTTACGGGAATAGCCGTACGTCTTTATAATGGTCGGAGCGAAGTAGGCGTATCCTATATGCAAGAGATTGGTTAGGGTAACTATGTAGAAGGATTGAGTAGGGGGTGGAGAAGAGAGCGTTATTTACCATATGCAGGGACAATCAGGCCAAAGTACATAAACCCGCCAACGAAAATCTTAACTATGGGTGCATTAGTCTAAGGTTTTGTCAGGAGGTTTCCCTTCTCTGGTCCGATGAATACTTACGGTCTTTGAAGACATCAAGAACGTCCTTCACACCCACCGACATCTCGTGTCCTGCAGCGCCAACATCCTTGGCAAGTTTAGCCCGAATGAAAGACCGTTCTTCTTCATTCAGCCATTTCACGTCTTCGGGGAAGTCAGGGATCACGAAGAAAAACGCAAAGGAGACGAGGCATGTCAACAGCCCTTCCAAGATGAAAATCCATCGCCATCCAAGATAACCGCGCGTACCGTGCATCTTTCCGATGGCGCTTGCGAGCATGCCTCCAAAGGCACCGGCGAGAGTAGTGGAACTGAAGAAGAAGCTGAACCGTTTCTGTGCTTCAGTGCGCTGATACCACATTCCAAGGAGGTAGAAGCCTGTTGATATATTAGTATCGTGATGCTCTATGAGGGTCTCCGGAAACGAAAGTGGGTGGCCATCTTCAACTGGAACTCAAATGACATACATCCTGGAAACATGCCAGTTTCGAAGACACCAAGTAGGAAGCGCGTTACTAGGAGGGCTGCATAGTTCTGTACCAAGCCCTGGCAAAGAGTGGTGAGTCCGAAGCCAAACATGCATCCCGAAACTATAATGTAGGGAATTAGTCAATTATGAGACTCATCCTTTCAGATGTGTATGAAATTTTGATCGTGCATAGGAACTTACGCCATAGGTGAGGCTTCAGTTTCTTTAGTAGAACATTTGATGGAATCTAAAGCCATACCACAATTAGCTTGATTTCGTAGAAAAGAATAACGGGCTAACCCATTTTCCACAGCAGCGAATGTAGTATTTGATCCATACCTCAAGTAGAATGTAGGGTAAGAAAAAAATAGTCAGAGCGGCATTATATCTGTTGCCTGACTCAATACCAAGTTCCTCCTTCAGCCCAAAGATGACAGCATTGCTGATGTTGACACTGTATGCCACCAAGCCGCCGTTAGCTTGCTCTCCTCCCCCCCAATGATAGAACGTTTATACGCCATCATCCAAGATTTGTAGCTCGCCTGTTGGGCTTACCGGTCCAAGAATGCAAGCAGATAGAGTACACATAGCACGGGGAGCAGGTGCAAGTCGATTTTGGTCATCAACCTTCTCTCCGTGGTGTTTACGAGGGTGGCATCGAGGTCCAAGTCCTGGACGACAACGCAAGAACTTCCGGACTCCGCATCTCCTATACACCAGAATTAACATCATCGAAATGGAATAACAGACGCCTGGAACGTACCTTTCCGCTCCTGATCTACCTCCATTTCCATGTGCCTTTAGCTGTCGATCCGGTCCAGATGCAGGAATCCGACGGGAAGAATGTGAGGGGGTGTATTTCACCGCGCCTTAGCTAGGTGAAGTGGGTTGTCCCTGGGCATAGAAACGAAGAAGCGATAAGAGACAAACCAACGAACATGAAGAAAAAGGGGAGGGAGAAAATCGAAGCTGGAAAGAATGGGGGAAGCAGAACTTTATTAAGTTCAACAATCCAAGCTTTGAGAGCCGAAAAACACACCACCTATGCCGCTACAGAAGCTTGTGCCACGGATGGCGAGCAAGACGCAAAGCTGATTCGGCGGAAGGAGGCCGAGGGAAGTTTTGTGTACCCCATGAGGAGAACCTTGTACAGGCCGAGTTTGTGGGATGAGTGAGGACTCCAACAACACTCAATGTGCAGGTCCTTGTATGTATGTATGTACCTTGTACCCTGGTTCAACCTTCTCACCTTCTCACGGGCTTGTGTTGTGATACAACCAAAGTATCCTCGCTCCGACGCAAGCTGAAACTTTTGCCTTGTTTGGTAGCCCATTGTTTTTGTTCTGCGGCAGAGCAACGAATTTTACCTAAATTTTATATTAAGGATACGTCTATATAGGAATTTGACACAGCGTCGTCATCCCTTTCCCCGAAACCCTTGCCTACAGCAACTCATATTACTGGCGGTCGGCTCTATCTGGTCCAGGCCAATGAATCTAACCCCCATATCCGCCTTCCCCAGACCGACATATGACAAACTAAGTAGCCACCGCTTCGCCCAGGTAGGCTGGGCGTCCTAGGCGGGTGGTAGAAGATTGGTAATATTTTCTCCTTCGGTGCCGCATCCAGAAACGAAGCGAGATCCCCACCACAGATATGCGGGGATTGCCGGGACGGGGAAGATCAACTTTCGTTGATATTTTCCACATCACATGGCTGGAAAAATGAGGTACAATAAGTAGTACAGTACATACATTAAAGACGTCATGAATCTAGAAAGAGCGGCGTTTTAGATTTCGCGCAACCCAGCCGCCAAACACCCAGAACCTTGGGACATATTATTTTCCCTTTTGCTGGCCCTTCCTTCGCCGACCAGGCAGGAAGGCGGGTACTTCTAGGTCCTTGCCGACAACATCAGCCGGTGGAATCCTGGCCCCTGGCCTGACCTGAGAAGAAAAACGTGTACGAGAAAATGTGGAGAATTTTCCTGTCCAGGATGTGACTGGGGGAGGAAAACTGTGGGGTTATGATCCTTCCAACTTCTGAGAGGGCCAACACATTGTAATTAATAATTATTAATAAAGACTACAAAATAATGGGTTTGGATACGCCTTCATCACACTGAACGTCGAGTATTACGGAGGCGTAAACAAGGTTTTATGCTTAAAATTATCCCTGTACACACGCCAAGATTTAAACGATCCAGCTGCGGCTAATCAACGCCACAAAAAGCGTCTCCCGATGTTAGGATCGGGATTAGAGCGACTTCAACTGCCGTACAATCGGTATGATTGTGTTATCAACATATAGCAAAATAAAGCACACTCGTCGGGACTCCTATACCCAATTAAACAGTAATACCGATAATTGGGGCGATACCAAGATGAAGAAAAGAAATAATGAGGCGGAAAACAAATGGGCGTACAAGGAAAAGGGGTGGATGAGAAGAGACAGGAAGATCTAGCTATCTGAATTTCATAGAAGGGAAAAATCTGGGGCCGGCAAAGCCGTGGGCAACTACACTTTGAATGTCGATATTACCTCCGCTAAATGGACTCCACAGCTTGATGAGAATGAATTTTCCGGATCTGTGTTTCAAGGTTATTAACATCAAATGCGGCGGGATGGCAAGTGACGGGCATAAGGACTGGGCAGGAAAGTTTTACTTACACAGATGGGTCAAACTTGATGCTAACCATACTCTTCTCCTTCTCAATAAAGAAACGTGCATGCGGTTTCATGACTTCCGGATCAGAAGCGGCTGGCTTGCTCCCACTAGTCAAGGTGTCTCTGTTCCGGAGTGTTGATGAAGGTTCAATTAGACTAGGGAGTAGCCGCCGTCTACCCCTGCTATTAAGCGTGCCGGTTGCATCTACATCACTAATAGCCTGCCTCATTCGACGTCGAAATCGACGTTGTTCTCGAATTAGCGAGCCACTGATCCACCCAGAAGTCTCATCGCTATCAACGTCTAAATCAGGACAACGCATTTCAGATTCGATTTGTTCCATGAGCATTCTGTCAATGTCGGTTGACGAAGGGATCTCTTCAGGATATTCGTCATTGATATCATCATCGGACTTATCATCAAAATGGGTTGTAATACGGAAATCAGAGGAGGAGCTGCGATAAACAATAGGTCCAGAATCGAAGGACGGCGGAGGCGTGGGCTCATTCTCAGAGTCGGACCAGTTTCCTGGCCCTCCTAATGTGGTCCTTTCCAGAGATCGTAACGGTGATCTTGTTGAAGAAAGATATCGATGGGAAAAATTACCCCTCAGATGTCGTCGCCGACGAGGTCGGAGGGGTGATGGGGAGTAAACGATTTGATACTGGGCGGTGCGCTCCAGGAGTTCATCCAACGTCATGGAGACAAAAATCATCCCTTCTTGGATACTACAATAGATGTGTATTCTAGTAAATATTTTGCAGTCAGTTTTGCTAGATTGGGTAATAATCACTTACGGAGCATCAAACCCCGATTTGGGAGCCTTAATGACAATCTTCCTTAAACAAAATGGGGTCTCCCCTTGATGGCGAAGAATCAAGTTGCAGCGGTCGCTTCTCGTGCAGTATACCGAGGAGTCATTGAGCAGAACATTTTCTGGAGATGAATTTTCCCCATTCGCTTCGTACGTTCCTCCGTCACAGCTGACAATCTCCATCTCCAAAGCACCGGGAACAACTTCACCGTAGTGCCCGTATCTAAACCCACGGATTCCCTCCCGCTCATCATTGGAGTCTAGTTTACGTCGTTTAGGTCTCCATCGATCGCCATGGCCTTCAGTGGGACAGTCCCTGGCAGCCATGGTTGGAAGTCTAGCTGGCGAAATAGTGTTGTCAAAACTAGACCCTATAGAGAGTTCTGGCCCCGAAATACGCGCCGCGGCTCGTCTAAGGTTATCTAGTTCGCCGTGGTACGAGTTTCCCCGGCTATCGGCATCCGTCGCGCCCATTAGCATGCTTAGGCGATCTACTATATCAATCCGTGGACGTCGTTGCCCGGTTATAGGGGAGCGTCGGCCTGGCTCTATAGCACTCTGAAGTGCAATTCGTTCTTCCGTGTCCTCGGTATCAACCTCTGAACGACGATCAACCCTGTCATCTAAGACTTGTAATTCACGCCGAAGAACGTTATAGGTGTATTCGCGGACGGGATCGCTCCAGCGGGACATTCGAGCATCAAGTAGGCCTTGCAAATGCTGGAGTCGTGTGTTTAGACGCATGCGATACTGTGTTCGATCAGCGGGGGTTTCCGGCCGATTATTGCCATCAGAGGCAGTGGGAAAATCGAAGTTGCCGGACTATACAATGAATTAATAGTTCGATCAAAGGATATTTGAGTAAGAATCGTTTTAAGTTTTCGTGATATCAATAGAAACTAAACTGTAAGTGTTTGCGGCGGGTCATCGTAGCGCACATACCATTGTGAGTGAAGTCGTCCGGTGAGAACACGGATCACTGTTCTAACTGAAAATCGAACGCGGAATAGCGCGTTTTGGGGTGAACGAGAGGCGCTGTGATAGTTAATGAAAGATCAGGGCGTAAATTCGCTAGTAACGAAACATGCGGCGGGTGAGCCCAAAATCCCGATTAGATAAGAGGCCCAGGATCACGCATACTGTGTCTTCAGGATGTGTATGACGATAAAACCCGCTTCAAAGTCATAGTAGGTTTGTCAGACTCTGATGGGATGGTGAGCGCTGATAGAGGAAACTTGGTGTTGTTGATGGAAGAAGGTCAGATCGGCCTCAAGCCGCGAGCCGATTAGGCAGGTATAGGCGTCTTTGGCGCACAGGCCAAGCGGGCGGCTGAGGTAAGCGCCTTAGCCCTGCCCCGTGCCGCCGCCCGCAAGAGGTCCACGTGACCGGCCTCAACATTGACGTGGTTTGGCATCTTGAGAGATTTCAACAAACAGCCATAACACAGCTTCAAGCTTGCGGGCCAATGCGTTTGCTGGTGGTTTCCATTGCTGGCGCGACAGAAAAAAAAATTCGACTGGAACGAAGCCCAAGCTTTTTACACTGAACATTGAGATCTTTGATTTGCTCCTTGCTCGTTCTTCAGTGAATAACATAGGCTCCATCAATTTCTTATAGTTATACGGAGTAGTTGTGCTGCAATATCTACATTTGAAATTATTTCCTTGCCAGTATGGCGTCAAATAATACGAATAACCAGATAACAGCTGGTGAGTTTTCTAACTTGTTCCTGGAACCGGGGCAGAGTTGCTAACGACTTAATCAAGATGAAATTGCTCTCTATGACCGCCAAATTCGGCTCTGGGGCGTCAAGGCACAGGAAAAGTGCGTTACATCCCCGTAGCTTAAATATAAGTCTGTTCTTTCTGACTTGGGATATTGGAACAGGCTCCGAACTTCGAAAATCCTTCTGGTAACCATCAAGTCACTTGGGGCGGAAATCGCCAAAAACCTTGTACTGGCCGGTATTGGATCTCTCACGATCGTGGATAACGCTATCGTCAAAGAGGAAGATATAGGGGTTCAGTTCTTTCTATCAGATGAACATATCAACCAAAATGTTGCTCCTTTCAATTCCTAATGAATTTAAAACAGAGCTAATACATGTGCGTAGCGAGCAGAAGCGGCTGCCCCTCAAATTATACAGATGAACCCAAGGGTAGATGTGGTTGTTGAAACAATCGATATCAGATCAAAACCACCGGCATTCTTTGCGTCGTACGATGTGACCATTGCAGCAGATCTCGACTACGGCACTATCTGCTTCATAAACAATGCCTGTCGGGTCGCCAACTGTCGTTTCTATGCGGCAGGAGTCCACGGCTTTTACGGCTACATCTTCTCAGATCTCATCAGCCATGACTTCGTGATCGAACGAGAAAAATCAAATGTCGCCGCCGCAGCTATCGAGACACCGACGAGGACCGTCCTAGATGTTAAAACCAAGAAAGAAAACGACAAGATGATTGAAATGATAACAAAGCGCGAAGTCTACTGCCCACTCATGCTTTCAAACACCTCTCCTCTACCTCAAGAATTTACCAAAGTCCGCCGCAAGCGCTTGCAGGTAACACCACTTCTCACCTGCCTACGAGCGCTCTGGGAATTTCAACGAGAAAACAACGGGAGATTGCCAGCAAAGGATGATTTGGAGACATTTATTCGCCTCACCAATGATCGCCATTTAGAACTACGCCTGGACATATCCACACTCACAGCGGAATTCATACGAAGCTTCCTTGACAATCTAGGAAGTGAATTGAGTCCTGTGTCCGCATTCTTGGGTGGCTCGCTTGCTCAAGACGTCATCAATGTGTTAGGTGCGAGGGAACAACCATTGCAAAATCTGCTATTGTTTGATGGCGAACGGAGCGTTGCTCCCATTTACTCCCTTCATCCGATTTTCCCCGAGGATTGAATCAGCAGCGTCACCCTATGAACGCACCAGCCCCCCGCCGTTTTGACAACAGCTGAAAAGAATAGGCCTATTGATGGGGCCAAATTCTATCCCGCATTTCGTTTGGTTGGGCTAAAGTCAGGTTGCTCCCTTACACTTTTAGCAATCTTGCGAAAGTCCATCCATTGGTTTTTTTTTTTTTTTTTTTTTTTTTTTTTTTTTTTTTTTTTTTAAATGTCCACTTCTCGCGAGTGTCAAACGAAGAGGGCATTCTATGCATCTGCATCTACCATATTGAAACTCACGATGGATCTGTCCCTCATCCCAAATAGAAATGGGATAGATCTTGGGTGCGGACGGTACAATGCGGCTCGAAACATACTTCTTTTGCACAAATCGCGCCGCCGATCAGATAACTTATGTTTTTACTATCTTTTCCTCCCGTTTTCCACATGGAACCATCCCTTGGCGTTTAGACTTTCAGTGGAAAATATTATCTGATTGCTTATCGCTTCGGGAGGCGAATCTGTTTGTAAACTCTCTGAAGAGATCTAGCTGAATGGGGTAAAATCGAAAGGGAAGCGGGTAAGCAGCTTGCGAAGAAGATAGAAGCCAAAGCTATATATAATAGAATACGGGTGGGGATATGCTCGTTGTGTTGGCATTCTCCATCCTTCTTAGAAGATAATTGAGAGATCCAAAACCCATAGTAGGGGGTTCAACAATGTACAAGATGTCTGCTTCAACAAAGAAGAAAATATAATTTTTAATATATATGGAGAAATCCTCACCCTCATATTCCCTTTCTAGGCTATGTCTAATGGTTATTTACATAGAAATACGATTCAAAAGCTAGAAATAAAAAATAAGACAAAACTCGACGAGGGCAAAGAAGTAGAGAACAATCAAACTCATTTGCTGAAAAACATGTCCTACAAAGGCAAAGGAAGTACGGAAAGTTATGTACAGAAGAAGCAGCTGATTAACAAGGAAAGACAAAAAAAAAGGACGAAGTGCATGCTTGGATGAGAAGATCAGTAATTAAGTGGGCACTGTTCACCACTCTCATTTGGCTAGTAACAATATTTCCAAGACTTATATCGTTGCTGCAGCGATAGACAAAGCCCAGTATATTGCAAGGTTGGTTACCTATTCCACCTTGAGCTTCCATCTCTCAGCTATCTAAATGAAGAAACTTACATATATACAAAACACAGACTAGGCGTAGGCTCGGAGAATAATAAAACGATATGCATATATTGGCGGGGAAACCAAGCTACATAAAGCCGACATTGCAAAATGCACATGGACGTCATGATGTTTTAAGTCATGTTCGTTTTGTCGGGAAGGGAAAGAAGCTCATTTTGATAACGGCTAAAATCACATATTTCCTTAATTAGGGCGCCCGTTCTAGGTTTTTGGCCCCATTATCGAGCGGCGTGCTGATGGGACTATCATCGTCCTGGTCTTTATCAGCCCCGCCTATCAGGCCTTCTAGCTCAAATTCCTCTGCATCGTGAATATGTTGAATTTGAGATTGGCGACGAATATGGCCGTTCGGGCCCATGCGGCCATTACGGTGAGGGGTAGAGGTAGGAGGATGGCCACGTAGCCGGCGAGAACGGGAAGACGGCCTACTGCCGTTGTATTTTGCAGTCTCAGGCCACGCGTGGACCGCATACACGTGAATGAGGACGTTGACGACTAACCGGCTAGATGAGTAAAATATACAAAATTTGAGGCTAAACGGGTCGTTTTGACGAATGTTGACTTACATAGGAATAGGATGAATGCGATGCTGTAGAGAACAAGGACATAGGCAACGTGAGATATACCCGCATTTGATATAAGCTCCATTTGCTCCTCCGTGGCGCCCATAAAAAGGAAGCCAGAGGCATATAGAAGCTACACTGTGTTAGCTTCCCGCGAGTGAAGTGCAGTGCCTCGTCAAGAACTTACGAATGGAGTGATATATTGAAAGCTGTTGGGATCAGTTCCATCAAGGCTCAGGGTGCTCCGGTCTTTCAAGACAAAGGCAATTTCTATGATTCTTGCTGCCCCTGCACCCATCAACGTATAGCCGAAGAATGCGTGAACCATGGTGCTAAGCATCAGATGTTGCTGATGGGAAGACATGGAATATCCTGTAAGCAGAATAACTACGCCCGGGATCAAATTTCTTTTGGGTTGGCCATTTCTCTTTCTGCTCAACCAGATACCAAGCAACCCGGCACACCACCAAACAATGCCCATGCTTGTGTGTTCGATATCGTTGTGAGCCCAGGGCTGTCCCCAGCGGTGTTCCGTAAAGGTGTTTATGCATCCCCAAACCGCAATAACCACGGAATCGAAGAACTCTTGGCTCCGGCCAGTTCGGCGAAGCCAGTATTGCCCGACAAGGAGAAGGACTGTGAGAAGTATTCCGTACGCGATAAACGCACTGCCCATGATAAAATGCGCAAGACATTGTCCAAGGTGGTCTTTACGGCAGAATCCTAGAGCCGTTATCCCGCCGAATATCATTTGCACCCAGCTCACCACAGGCATCACCTTGCCCGCCACGCCATGAGCTCCAACAACATACTGCCGTATTCTGCCATGAATGCCTCGCGATAAGTGAAGTTTGAGATAGATTCCTAGGACAACTTGCGCAACAAGCATGATCATTAACACATTCGCGAACGAGGCGTGGATATTTTTGGAAAACTGCCGTCCCTTGTGTAAATGGCCCATAAAGTACGCCAGAATCGCTATGATACTGCCAACGATCTGTACAGGAACATGCCAGCGTGACCGGGTGATCTAAGAAAGACGAGATGATGTTAGATCCAATATCGCAGTGTTTGGGAACTGACAACACTCACCCCAAGTACCATCCCAGTGGGAAATATCAGTCCGAACGCAACGGTCATTAGGATGATATGTATCCATAATATCGAATCCTGAGGGAAAAGTATGAGTTAGAAGGAAAATTCTACATCTAGGTACAAACAATTGGGCACTGCCAACGCACGAGCGGATCCCCTGAAATGACCTGGCCTTCCGGGAGTTGGGAATGGTCTCCATGGGCAAGTGTATGTCTCGCGAAGTGCCAGAGCAGAACTGGCACAGAAACCATCAACTTCAACATTGTCGGTAAGAAATGTGACCCAACAAGGTCTAGCTTAACGGAAGCAAAACAATCATAAATGAAAATCCAATATCTTGAAAGAATAAGGTCGATGTATCTTATCACGAACACCGATTAGGGATATTTAAGTGTCCGCAGGTGAGGTGGGTCATTCCACTCCCGATACAGCCACGGAAAGAAATGAAGGTGTGGAACTTCGAGGCCTCATTGCGGTGTGACCCGGGTGATTAAGTGCAAATTGAACCGGGACCAGGCATCGTAGAGTTGTCGACGTTTTATCGTTGGAAGTTGTGAATACTTCTTGTTTCTTTGCACGGAAACGCGGCTCGAAGTTCCGTCATTCCATCAGGTCAGGTCAGGGCCTTTAGCCAGGGAACGCACACGTGATTCTAGCGCCTTCCAAAGTTTCCTGAGAATATCAGAATATCAGCTCCGGAATTCCATCCCATAAACCTCAGCGGTTTTACCACTGCATCCGCATCCAGGATCTTTCATCATTGATCTAGGCTTCACAAAATGTGAAAACAATTGGTAGTTTCTGAATCGGTTCACTACACTTTCGTTGGTGAAGGGAAATCACGATCAAATCGTGTTATAATTTTCATTTCCATGTATGTACTGCTATATAAGCTATCATGAACGGAGGCCGTTTTTGTCCAAGTGCTTGTTTGTTGCAGAACCTCCGAAATCGCATCTCACATTAGCAGATGAGAGTGTCCGCATTTGAACTCTTCACTCCTATAAAAAATCATTTTGCCTTCCCGCGACTTTGCTTGCTACCTCCAATTCCTAGAGATGTTATGAGTACCGTGATCTACATTGCACCCCTTTGCTGTCCCTCTCTCCTAGTTGGGCTATCGGGATTGTTCAAGGAATTTTATATTGATAAGTTTGAAATCCCAGAGCAAAGTACGAAATATCTTCGAACAAAACGGAGGAATCTAACCTGATTATTTAATTGAGCCGACCAAAACAAATAATGGCTCATCCCCTGGATCACATTCCAGTGGCAAACACAGAGCAAGCAACCTCAAGCCCACGGCCAACAGCATCACCAGCGAGCTCCTTATCTAGACCGGAGCCTGATCCATCTCTCCTGGGGAGTCCCACTCCCAGTCGGTACAGTGACAAGCATGAAAAAATGATTGTTAGCACCCCCCAACTACTATTAACGCATGCTATATAAATCCCATATCGGCACATTTCTAATACTGCTCCTCAGAAATCACTCACCTCCAAAATTTCTACCCTCCACTCCGAAATCTCAAAGACTGAAGCTCTCCTCTCCGAAGCTCAGGTCAAACTAAAGTGTGTAATCTAGCGATCAGCTCTACCGACCCCAGCTATCCAATGTGACAATCCCGATTCACTAACCCACAGCAGTCCCCCGAATACCCAAGGCACGGGTACAGATAAGGACGCCGCCGCCATTGTCCAGCGACATATCCGTCTGTTGCATGAGTACAATGAGATCAAGGATATTGGGCAGGGGCTGATGGGCCTGATTGCGGAAGCGAGAGGAGTTAGATATGTGGAAGTGCAACGGGATTTTGGAGTTGAGGCCGGGGATTGAGCGGCGCGGAGGACCCGGGGTGAGGGAAGGTGATTCCGATACGGAGTTTTCGGGCGTTTATGTTGATATATATCGTTGTTTTCGTTAATGTAAGGGGTGTTAAGAACCACTGTGCTAAAAAGATATGGGTGGGTGGGTAATCGGGTGTTGGTAGACAAGGAGTTATAACTATGTTTTATCTTGTGAATGAAGGTCTTCGAGTGGGGGGAGATCTTGGGGAAATACAAGGGGTTAACTTCTTAGAGAATGCATCAAGATCTATCCTCTCTTCAAACAAACAGAAAATAAAAATAAAAAAAATAAAACAATGTAGAGAAGGCTGTCTAATATTAAAACCAGTTAGTTAAAACTTCTATCACTGAAAGAATCAAATCCAACCTCGCTCGCTGCTCGCAGCGAACATAATCCAAAACACAGTAGAGAAGAAAGGCAAATAATATTTATCGAGAGGAAAATAATAAACCGTAGCATAAAAAAGTCACAATCTCCACAACGCTATCAAGACAGGGAAAAACCACTATAATTATCCAGTCCTGTTCTCATAAATAAAACAACGTATATATGTATAATACCTACCACATATCGCCATATCATCGTCAACTCTCATTCTCAAAATATCTCATTCCCAATAAAAGCGAAAAAAAAAAGAAAAAAGAAAAAAAGAAAATAATAATGAACAAAAACTTCTTAGCATCATGAACAAAATATTCACTTTTACTCATCCCCCGACCAACGTAATACACTCATCAACTGCAGCCTCCAATTCCCCAATTCTATTCTTAAGTCCCCGATTCTCCTCCTTAAGTACAGAGACTACCCCCCACGCATCTGACGCAGTGGCTCCATGGCAGTTGGAGCATCGGGAAGTAGAAAATGGGCTTGAACTCATAAACGAAGCTCCAAGGTTAGCTGACGATATACCCCTGAGCACTCTGTCGTAAGCGGAGGGTTTTGTTGCCGGGGCTGCGGGTTTGGATTGCACTGTCGATTGCTGTGGTTGTGGCTGTGGCCGTGGTGGTGCCAGTTGGTCCTCTGAAAGCGATGGGAGGGGTGTAATAGAGAAGCCGATATCTGGCGACGACGCGCCGGAGGCCCTTGTCGCTAATGTCGAGGGGGAGCCTAGATTTTCATACTTTCGAGAGAATATACTTTCGGTAGTGCTCTCATCGCCGGATTCGAAGCCTGAGTCACTGTAGAAGGTGCCACAGCTGGAGCGTTTGCTGTGGCGTTTTGTAGACATGGTCTCAGGGCCGTCTCTGCTTCCGTCCTTGGCAGCGCAGCTGCACCTGCGATGGTGGCTGTGATCCTGATAATGGGCTGGTTCGGGTTCTCTGACAAGGACAATACTTCGTTTCCGCGCCTCTTCTTCTTCATTTTCTTGGCGCTTCTGGCGCTCGAGTTTAAGTTCCTCTGCCATGGCTTTCATGGCTTTGTCCTGTTCGTCCACCTTCTCTGCCATCCCGTTCAGTTGATTTTTGATATTTAGCAGGCGTGATTGCGTCTCTTCCAGCTCTTCCCCCAGTGATGATTTTTCTGCTAGTGCTTCATGGAGTGCAAACGTCCGTAATTTATATGCAGCTTGGAGCTGACCAATAACACGCTCCGCGTTGTATTGGAGACTCTTGAGGGCTTCGGGTGCTGGAAGATCCGTCGAGCCAGAAGGGAAAAGTACTGAGCTCACATCGAGGTTTAGAAATTCGTCGTCTGCAGGTTCAGGTAGTTGGCCTCGAGTCGAGTCTTGGGATTGAGGTCTGGGCCCGAAAAAAGAAAACCGAGCTGAGGAGCTCACTTGTTTTAGTGGGGAAGGCATGCTCACCCTTTTCGTGAAATTTCTTTGAGCTCGCGGCGGGAGTGATTCTGTCATTTCCATTGCTGTATTGGGCCGGTCCGTGTTGTTGGTTGTGGCTTCCTCGGCGTACGAGCGTACCAGGCCGAAGCGAATCGGTGCGGATTCCCCTTGGAAGAGACCCGTAAATAGCGTCGCTGGGCGACTTGATTTAGGCGACGTAATCTTTTGCTCGGTATTTGGCTCTAGATTAACCTCATCTAGGCGATTTAGGTGCTCGTTACCGTTGGTATGAGGCCTGGTACCTGGGAGAGAAAAAGTTTCGGTTTTCGCTCGGCGGTGCGCAGCTGTGTTTGCTTCTATTTTCGGGTGCGTTGTGGTATTGAGGGATGGCCTAAATGTGGAAATTGTGGGAGGAGCATCTATTGAACTCCTATTATCTCCATATGTTGAGTCAAAGGGTAGTTCACAATGTGGGAGTTGGCTCGGGGAGCGGTTGTGGAAATATGTCAGGTTGCGGATTGTTGTAGAAGCTTGGGATAATTTCGATTCAGAGCTGAGCATTGGGTAAAGGGGCGGGAACGAGGAATGATAATATGATTCCAGCGACCTTTGAAAACCGAGACTAGTTGTTTGTTTATTTGCCAACCTGCAATCACCACGTATTGGGCCGTAAGCCTTCAACTCAATTGGCCGGTGCTTCAGGCTTAACAAGTAGTTACAGTACAACTAGCTGGTGGTGAAATCCAGAACCTTCTCGCGAGGCAGGTTGAGGTCTCCAAGGGCGGGATAGGCGACGACCTGGAAAACGTGCTCACCTATCGTGAGGATAGAAAATTGCCTGAGTGTCCTTGAGGGTGTCGGTGAGTAGTTAGTTATTTAATAATAAATACTCTGTAGTCTGGGGTTTGTTGATGGATTTAATAATAAACACGACACGATCACGCTGCCAAGGTACGCGAGAAGCGATAGTGGCTATTCAGATCTTCGCAGATACCGCTTGCACGACGCAACGGGGGAGTCAAATTCAACTGCGATTAATGTTTGAGGTTGAAATAAATAAAATGAAGGAACAATGTCTTTGTTCTTTTAACCCCTCATGGTCTGACTGTTTCCCCTCTCATCTAATTCGCCGCGTTGGCGATTAATCGAGAGGCTGGGGTGAATACCGCTCCAACCAAGACAGGGAAAGCGGATATTCCATCCGTCATACAGTTGAATGAAGGACCGCCTCTCCCACGTTCTCAAGATTCGAAACCCGGGTTTTGATGATCGTTCAAACTGAGCTGCCAGCCTTCGCTGTTTCAGCTTGATGCTAGTTACTCAATCCGTAGTACGTTTGAGTCTGGGCCGTATAGAAACGCCGAGCTCGTTGCTTGCATCTGGTGCAAACCATGGCTTTCCTATATCTGTTCTACCCTAATCTGGACTGGGTAGAGGATTGAAAATAAATAACTAACTTATAAATAGTCAGTTAGTTATACTCCATAGACATATAAAGTACCCAATCTGCGACGAGGAAGTCGGATGCCCCAAATCAGGAAATTAAGCCCTAAGCCCTAACTCTAGCAACTCCGTCGCGGACTTCCTTGCCTTTTTTTTTGTAGCTCTGCGTTAGCAAGGTCCGGCAGCGACGACGACAACGACGACGTCCATCGTCATTGACAGCAGCTACTTTCACCGCAGGAAGCCACAATGGCTCCCGCGGCTTCATTGGACAATCTATCAAATCCTCTTGTGACTGCTGCCCAACTGGCGACCTCATCCTCCTCACTTGACGGTGTTACCATAGATTTGGAGACATCCGTTCGGTATGCAGGTGTTCGACTTACCCAGGCAGCTGGAATCCTTTTACAGCTTCCGCAGGATGTGATCGCCAAAGCTATTGTGGTTTTCACAAGATTTTGGGTTGGCCCTGAAGGAGGCAGCCTTGCTGTTTATTCTGCAAAGGTTGGATGCTCTTTGTGTACTCGTCCTGTGGAATAAACAATACAAATATTTCCCCCCCAGGAGCTGAAAGAATGAACTAAAGCTAACCATTTTTGCGCATCGTCTACCTAGGATATATCTGCCGCATCGCTCTATCTGATGGCGAAACTTTCCTTTACACCAATTTCTCCACGCTCAATTATCAATGTTTTCGCGTTCCTTCTCTCCCCAGAAGCTTCTCCGTTGGATTTTACCAACCCACATCCGCCCTCGGGAAAGCCGATCCCGGAAGCATACTACGTATCAGAAGGGAGCTACCAGGCAGAGCGGCTAGCTTTAATGAAGATGGAAGCTACCGTTCTGCGCACTCTGGCCTTCAACACGCACGTCACCCTGCCCCATACCATTGCCCTTACATATCTACAAACACTTGGAGCATCCTCAGCGGCAGTGTCAAAAAGAGTTTTTCAACATTTAAATGCAGCGTTGCTCTCTCCACAACTGTTATATTTGACGCACCAGCCAAATGCATTAGCAGTGTCAGCAATATATCTGGCAGCTAGAGAGGAGGGCGTGAAACTAGTGGATGACGAGTGGTGGGAAGTTTTCGACGTGGATAGGGAGGAGTTAGGTTTTCTGGTTGTTGGGATGAGAAGCATGGAGAATTTTGCGACCGCTGAGAAAGAGAAATGGAAAGGCCGCCGGGTACCGTTGACTGTTGACCAGTTGGAGGCGGAGCAGGAGACGCGGAAGATGCTGGAAGAAGGGGAATGAGCAGGATTCTCTTTTCCATCCGGAGTGAAAAATTTAACATACCCACTTTTTTTCGACAGATTGAACGCTCTTGGCTTGCGCGCATAGTCTCTTCTATGGTGATTGAAGTGACGATAGCCCTCTTCCACTATCGCAAGCGATGACCTGCGCTGATGGTCTAGTGGCATCAGTATTCTACTGGAATTTCACAGATTCACAATCCCTACTGGATTAGATGAAATACTGCTACGAGCTTAAAACCACCCGCAGCCCACATTAGGCTTATCGCGACGCTCCAGTTCAGAAAGCTGAGAGCTTAAATCTCCTTGTTTCTTCTGGGCTGGAGAGCCTAAAATTCCTTGTTTCTTTCCTGGTGCGACGCTGTAACCACCGATGTTTATGCGAATACTCAACTCAATGGCGGCCAACCATTTTAGAAGGGGAAGGACGCTGCTGGAGGGCCTATGTTGGGCATTTACATGCTTCTGCACTGCCAGATTTGCCGTTGACGGTAGCTGGCAAAGGCGAAACACTTTCGTCTCTCCAAGCATAGTAACTTCACAGAAGCTCCTCTGTGCATAGAAGTGCTCCGGCTCAGAATATGTTTCAAATTATGGCTTTGTGTAAATACGAATGGTCACGGGGTTACTAGGTGTCGCATTCACGTCTCCTGAGCTTCTATTTTTATCATAGGGCTGAATTTTCTGGTGATAACTGCCGCCTGATTCCTCATGCAGCTTCCGTCAACATTTGAGGTTGCATGTGCAATCTACGCATAGTATTTCGGGGAACGCGTCCACAGGTAGGGTAGGGGTATCTGATTGCTCCTGGAATGGAAATACCATCCTCCGCTGACGCGCTTACTCATCCCTCTTTGACGCCTGCTCTGTGTGCACGTGATTCCATCACTCCGTCATATTGGAAGCTTGCAGACAATCAACACAACTGCAACCTAGA